ATATAGAACTGCGTAAGTTTCTCTGAGCAGTTCTAGGAGGTGTCTGTTGCGTGTATAATAACTGGAGATCTCCTGAAAGTTTTTGAGCTTCTCCAGAAAGTGTTTAAACCTCTAGGGGAAGTTCTCTCAATTTCTCTAGGATGCTCTGATGGGTTGATGCATATATTATGTCACGCTCTAGGGGGGAGGGGGCCTAAGATTTTGTGACAAGCAATGCATTAGGTATAGGAAAAACGTCACGATAGGAGGGGGGTAAATTTATCCTCGATATAGCGTGAGATAATTAATGCATGGGCCCAAAGTTCCTTGACATGCTTCAATATTCTTTTTGTTTTATTGATTCAGAAACTTCTTTGGCCTTCTCCAGGACGTCCTCCAAAAAGTTTTCTTAAGTTTTACATAAATTTCTGTGATTTTCCCCTGGAAGTCTTCTGAATTCCTCATAGAAATTCTAAACCCTTCTATTGTAGGTTAGCTGGAGTTCTTTAGGAAATTTTCGACCTTCTCCTGGAAGTTCTTTGAACTTCTCCGGGCAGTTTTCTGATGTTTTCTTAAGGACATTTCTGTGTAATATTCCACACCCTTCGAATTTGAAGCCGGAGGCTCTCTGAAGTTGTGAAATATTTTCATTTTTAACTTTCACAGAAGGTTGTCCTGCAATTTTACAAGTAGTTTTCCAGGAAGTTCTCCGAAATTGTTCATTGACTTTCTTTGATTAGTTCAAAGAACTTCTTTGACCTTCTGCATGACCATCAAACAAAGATACAGCAACTGAAAAAAAACAGCTTTGAGCTCCTCCAGAAAGTGTTTAAACCTCTAGGGGAGATTCTTTGAATTTCACTGAAAACAGTTTCTTGGATGTTCTAAGGAGTTCTATCGGAAGATCTTTGGACTCCGTCAGATACAGATTATTCGGAAGTGACGCAGAAGTTTCTCTACAGATATCTGGATTCTTACAGAACTTTCCGTAATTCTCCAGAATGCTCTGAGAAGTTCCAAGAAGGTATTAGAAGATTTTCTCGAAAATTTTCAGAACATATACAGGTTTGTTCTCTGCAGGAGGTTTTTTGAGATTCTTCGGGAAGTCGTCTAAAGTTGAATACTTTCTTTGAATTTTCCCAGTAAGTTATTCAGGCTTATGTAGGAAGTTCTGCCTAAATTTGTTATATGTTTTCCAAGATGGTCCCTGAACTACTTCTAGAAATTCTATGTTCTGCTCCTATATGTTTCCTTAAGTTCACCAGGATGATTTTTAACTTCTCCAGAAATGTTCATGAACTTCTCCAAAAATTCTGTGAACTTCTTCAGGAAGTTTTGTAAATAGTAACTTCTGCAACTAAATTTCTCGGACTGTCCGGAGAAAATATTTGGACATCCACTGGAGGTTCTCTGAAGTTCTGAAGAATGTGCTTTGATATTCTCCAAGAAGTTTTCAAAGAGTCTTTCTACTTATTCAGAAATTTATTTGAACTTCTCTACAAAGCCGTCTGATCTTGTCCTGGAATCTCTGTTAAGTTGTACAGGAATTTATAAGCAATTCGACGAGAAATTTTCCAAGCCTCCACAGGAAGCTATTTGAGTTGAAAAACGAATGAAAATGTCGCATTTACTCCACGATCATCACATTCCAAGCCTGCTCTGCAAAATCTGGAAGCTTTATCCAAGAAAATTCCTTGAACTCCGGAAATGTTTTAGAAGATCTTCAGAAAGTTAGTAGGACTTCTCCAGATTCTTAACCTCTGCAAGTAAATTCTCCGGATTCCTCATAATTTTATTTGTCCAGATTTCTGTTGGAAGTTCTGTGATGTTTGGTAGGACAATTTGGAAACTTCTCTAAAATGGGCTCGACCTTCCACGAAATTATTTAAAGTTTACTAAAACTTATTTTTTTTTTGGAATATCTCCACAAAGTTGTCTAAACTTTTCTAGAGAAGTTCCACGCCAAATGGCGAATGGCAGATTTACCTGAAATTTTGCATAATTGTTCGTTATGATCAGTCATTCATATTTGAGCGAAATTTCGGTCCGTAAAAAATCAAAATTGCGTCTTCGACATTTTTCAACAAATCATAACTCAAAAACTTCTCCTCCAAAATGATGTCTGAGGCAAAGTTGTAAAACAAAATTATTTCTATTCAGAAAAAAATATACGCGGCAGAAAAATTCAAGTAATTTTGAGCAAAAAAAAAACCAAAATTTTACCAAAAGTTGTTGTTCTGTGAATTTTGATAATTTTTAAGTGTCCAACTTGAAAATTTTTCAGAAGATATTGAAGAGGGTCATTGAAGTTTTTGTTTATATTGTTTACCCAAAATTACTTAGAAAATTTTACAGTGTCTATTTTTTCCTGAAGATTGAGTATTTTTTACTACATTTTTTCGTAGACGAAGTGACGTTTAAGAGTAATTATTTGTTGAAAAATATTGAAAACGCCATTTTGAATTTTTTTCTGCGTGATTAAAAATGGCTCAATTTTTGGAACAAAAGTGAATGATTGACCATAACAAACAATTATACAAAGTTCTTGCCAATCGGAAAGGCCGAGTCTGATTTTTATTTGTTACTGCTGCTCCACTTTGACAAGAAATTCTTCACGAAACTTTTCGAGTTTTTCAAAGAAGTTTTCTTAACTACTCCAAACATATTAATTGTGAATACACTTGTGCTTTACCAGGTCAGGAAGTGGCCCTGGAAGACTCATATAGCTTATCTGAGGTTCTCTGAGCTTGTTCGGGAAATTTCCTGAACTCCAGAAAGGTATTGCGAGTTCTAGTGGAAGATCTGAAGACTTCTCCAGATTGTTTTCTCCGGAAAATTCTTTGAACTTTTCCAGGAAGTTTTCATATCAGGCAAACGGTCTGTACTTTCCGATGAAAATCTTTGGATTCTATTGGAAATTCTCTGGTGTACTGCAGGACATGTTATAAACTTCCCCGAAAGGTACTCAGAACTTATGCATGGACTTCTTAGAAGCTTCCCGGGAAGTTTTTGGTACTTGTCCAGGAATTTGTTTGAACTTATCTAGCAATTGTTCGATGAAGTTATGCAGTGTGTAGTAACGTCAGCTCTCTGGACTTCTATACCAAGTATGCCTATGAATGCGTTATGCTACTAATTGGATATCCAAATACAATCATACTGCACTTGTACCACTCTGTCTTTTAACCGTTCTGATAAAGTTTGAGTAAAATTTAAACAATTTCAGGAATTAGAATTTATGCACCCTGTCAATTAAGAGCTTATTCACGAAACTAGTACTGCTTCTTATCAAATCTAATGGAAAATATTTGACGAAAATAAGAACGATCAACGAAAATAAGAACATCAAAGCAACCTCATTCGAATAGAGGAATTCGGTCGGCTTCGCCAATTGTCAAAAGCATTCCTCAACTTCCGGGACGGGACTTGACAATCCAGCTTCTCACTCTTCTTAATGTTTTTGATGAATGCCCGTCGATGGTGTTTGACGGAGTTGACCAATGATGCCAGGATTGCAAACTGATTTTTCTATTTTAATTTTAATTTGATTCGTAGTTTCTACCTTGTCATCATTTTTGCTTAACACAATAAAAACAACCATAAACAAACAATAATATCCATCTCTTAAAACACGCCGTGGACCCTATATTCCAACTTTCGTTTCGCAAATATAAACTATTAACAACGTCATTGACGTCACCATTGGTTCCGGCATCACTGCCAGTCAGATTGATGCGATCCCTCTATCCTTTTGATTCCACGATTGCTACTGTCAAATCGACCAATCAGCAACTGGCTCGAATTTGACAGCAAATTGGCTCGAAATCGCTACCCGATTGTCAAGTCCCGTCCCAGCTCAACTTAAGCTGAGAAACGGTTCTCTAATCGACATTCCAACGAAATTTCCAAGCCAATCGGACACCATCTTCTGCCAGACTTCAATCCAAAATTATCCTAAAAACCCGACAGTTATCCGATACGAACCCGACATTGGGTCGATGGCGGTTTAAAATTGAGTTTTACTTCACTGCCATGGATCAATTGAACGTGGATGTGAAATAATTGGCAGTACATGAAGTGACTTTGAATGAGGTGAGGTATTTAACGGTCCTGTAGGATCGCGATCAATTGAAGCATTTGCATATTAGCAGCACTGTGCTCACTAAGTTCGATTAGAAATGTTTCATAAATCACTCAAATTTCTCCTGATCCGGAAATTCACCACCAATAAAAAAAAACGATGCCTACCAATAATTCCATCCTCGAGTGACCCTTTTATCCTAATTTGGCACACGTCTGTAGCATCGCGGAGGAGAGGAAGCAAACGAGCGCGTCCGGTTGGCCCACTTGGGAAAGTATCGTCGTTACCGGAGACTATATAAACCTACTAGTCGTCGCAATTCCATCGCCGGCTGCCAGAGAAGGGCACTTACAATTTTTCAACATGACACACACGTTCGACCGTGCCTCGTTCTGGCGGCGTCGGGACACAGGGACTAACTTCTGCTCCAAGAAACGCTTGCGTACGACGAAGGTATACTGCAGTAAAACTTTCCTATCACGTTTCCAGTGTACCATTAGGATAACGGCTGGATGCTCGCTGCAGGTTCGTGTCTACATGTAGCAAGTTCTAATTTGTGACTCCATGCGAGCCCGGGAAGGTGGCCGTCGTCTTCGTCGGATGAAGGCATCGACTGCTACCTGCCTGCCACAAGTGTGTCCTCTTCCTAGCAGAATGATGGAAGCGCGGGATTGGAATTGTATCCGTTCGCCGAGACTGGCGTGAAATAGCAAAAGCCTTCAGGGTGAAAGCAAAACCCGATAGCGATTAGGTCAGATTCATGAAAATTAAAAAAAATAGGAGCATAGGAGAGTTTAGCATTTGCACATTGATTTCTGTTCGATTCAAGTAACGCTGTAACAATCAAACTTAACCGGAATTCGTTGTTTTACTCCCTTGAACCAATTAACCAACAACTACTACAACTACTACTACTACTACTACTGCTACTGCAACACAGGGTGATATTCACCGGCATCTACACGTTCGAATCAGGTGTAAAAGTGATGGCGCGAGGTTTCATATTACAACCGTTTACTTATCTTAGAGATGCATGGAATTGGTTGGACTTCGTAGTAATAGCATTAGCGTGAGTTTTCTTGATAACCTAAATTTTATTAATATATATATATATTCAATCATATAACCACTTCTAGATAAGTAGATTTAAAAGTAGTGATTTCTCTTTTCAGTTGTTCTGTATTTACTTTTTAAGTTCTGAAATTCTATCCATTTTCTGTTATAGATGATTAAATTTTAGTTGGGTTGAAATCAGTCTCTGTTAAAACTGTTCAAAATGGAATTATTGGTTGAAGAACAAATTCGAGCGATTTGTGTGACTATAGGTAATGACAAAAACAGCGTAAGTAGAATTCGGATTGTGTTCGTGCGTGTTGTCAATCTAAAGCGGATTTTTTGCAAATAATTTGAACTACAGAAATTTGGGAGAATTTGTGAAGACAAAAGTGTTTTTTTTTTTAGTGAACGCCCAACAGACATTTTCAAAAAGCTCTTTGAATCATTGAAATTAAATGGCACTGATTTAAAATAGTACGATCTAAAACTAACATTGATGTAGATTCCAAATCTTGGATCGAAACGATTACGATTATAAAAGTGAAAACAGTACATTTTTTTTATCAATGAAAAGCTGATGTAAAATTACGAAATCTATCTTTAAACTTCGCCAACAGTCTAGACTGTTCTGAACTTTCCGGTGCCTTTGTGAAGGTATTGGAACTGTCCTAAACATATCCGAACTTTAATAAAGTTCTCTAAGCTTCCCTGAATTTCTCAGAACTTTTTAAAAGTTCCCGTAATTTTCCTGGAATTGCCTTAAATTTCTGAAATTCCAAGTTTTCGAAACCTCATTGGACTTTCCTGAAACTCCCGGAACTTCTAAAAGCTTCTTAAAATTGTCCTGAAATTCATGGGGCTGTCCTGAATTTTTTGAAACTAACCTTTACAGGTCTTTAAACTAACCCGAAAGTCTGGACTGTTCTGAAGTTTCCGGTGCCTATGTGAAGGTATTGGAACTGCCCTAAACATATCCAAACTTCAGTATAAAGACTGGAACGCTCAAAAATTGGCCGGCAAAAAATCGTTTCTTTCATATCACAAAAATATTCTTATTTTTCTTTTGGTTTGAACTACCAAAAGAAAAATAAGAAGATTTTTGTGATTTGAATTTTGACTGAAAGAAACGAAAATATTTAAAGGAAAAAATAATCGTTTATTCGTTTGGTTTGCCAAATCTGAACTGCCGTGCCTTCCGCTTAACCGCTTCCATTAAATTTTGCACAGTGGTCTCATCGACCTTATTCGCCGCCGAACGCCAATTAGATTTAAACTGCTGCTCGTTTTTCATGGATTATTCAGGAACTTCGATAGTTTGATGGTTTAGAAAATTTCAGCCACCTTCCCTTTTCCTGATGCGGTATAAAACTCCTGTCCCGGAAGCTACTTGAAATCCACCTTCACATAAGTTTCGTCGTGAGAACGTTGGATTCTCTTGCTGCGCGAGCAAAATTTTGACACGCTGCTCCTCTTTCTTGGACGTCATTTTGAAAACTGGAGAGCAAAAGGTGAACACTCATCATAGCTACCATTGTATATACACGCAACTTCCAAATGCTGCATTTCAGGTTTTTTAAATGCATTTTAACAGAAATACACCAATTTAAAGTTGACCAATTTTTGAGCGTTCCAGACTTTAGTTCGCTAAGCTTCCCTGTATTTCTCAGAACATTTTGAAAGTTCCCGTAATTTTACTGAACTCAAGTCCTAAAATTTTTCTGAAGATTTCGAAACTCCTTTGAAGTTCATGGAGCTTCTCTTAAACTTCCCTGAGTTTCTTGCATTCCTTCTAGACTTGCCTGAAGTTGTCATTACTTAATAATGAAATTTTTTAACTTTTAAAAAAGTTCTAGGAACTACTCTACCGTTCCAACCATTTTTCTGATATTTATCAAACCTTCCTTAATACCCCGCCATATTCCTCAAACTTTTTGGAGCGTTCCTGAAATTCTCGGAATAATAAATTCCTGTAACCAATTATTGAAACTACTCTACAGTTCTCTAATCTTCCTTGAAATACTGGGAATATCCCTGAAAATGTTCAATCTTAAAGCTATCCCTCCAGGAATCATCAAGGAATTCCGCTTGGCATATTCCTGGAATTTTTCAGGGAATGCTCAAAGTATCCTCTAAGAATCTTTAAGAAAATGCTTTGTGATTCTTTCTGGAGTTCTTCTAAACGTTTAAACAATCTCCTCCAGACATCTTTTAGGAAAACTCTCAAGAAGTCATCGTGGAATTTCTCTAGAGATCGTCAATGAGCTCCTTTGTAAATCTTCATGGAATTATTCAACGAATCTGCTACGAGTTCCTCTAGGATTCTTCAAAGTACTCCTCTAAGGATTTTCAAGGATTTTCCAAAGAATTCTTCCATGAACAATGGTAATTTAATCTGAGAATGCATTAAATTAATTGAAAATACTTCTAAGCATTTCTTTAAAAATCTTCAAGGATTTCCTCTAAGAATGTACAAGAAACTCTTTACAACTTTTGCTAGGAAACTCCTCCAGTAATCTTCAAAGAATTGCTCTAGAAGTCTATATGAAACTTCTCTCTGATTCTCGTGGGATTAATTAAGGAATCTGTTATGAATTCCTATAGGAATCTTTTAAGGAATTCCTCTAAAAATTACCATGGAAGTGCCCCAGTAATCTAAGGGATTCCTTCCTGAATTGAAGGAATGCCTTCAATAATCATCAATGGATTTGTTTTGGAATCTTCAAGGAATGCTTCAAGGAACCATCGAGGAATTCCTCTACGAATCTTTCTATGAAGTCTTCTAGGTATCTTCATGAAATTCTACTTGAAGGCCTTCAAGGAATTTTTCGAAAAATCTTTAAAATATCCCTCCAGGAATCTCTGAGAATCTGTATAGAAATACTCTGGGATTTTTCCTAGGAACGTTCAAGGAATTCCTCCAGAAATCTTGAAGGGAAACTCTCAAGAAGTCTTCTTGGAATTTCTCTAGAGATCATCAATGAATTTCTTTGTAAATCTTCATGGGATTATTCAAGGCATCTGCTATGAAAATAATGAAACTGCTCAAAAATCTCAAATCTTCCCTGAAGTTCTCTGAATTTCCCTGAAGATCTCAGAACTTTGCTTAAGTTTTTGGAAATTCCCTTGGAACTTATATTATATTCCTGCAATTTGCTTGAAGTTCCTTGAAGATTTCTGGACTTTCCTGAAACTCCCGAAACTTCTTAAATTTCCTGAATTTCTCAGAACTTTTTAAAAATTCCCGTAATTTTCCTGAAATCGCCTTGAATTTCTGAAATTCCTAAAACTTTCCTGAAGTTTTCGAAACCTCATTGGAGTTTCCTGTAACTCCCGGAACTTCTTAAAGCTTCTTAAAATTTTCCTGAAATTCATGGAGCTGTCCTGAATTTATGGAAACTTACCTTTACAGATCTCTCAACTTTCCGGAAAGTCTGGACTTTCCTGAAGCCATTGGGACTATCCGTACGATCTCTGAACTTCCATGAAGATTCCTCTGAGGTTCTTGGAATTTATCTATAGTTTCCAAAATTTTCCTCAAGTTCTCTGAACTTCTCAGAAATTTTCTTGACTTCCCTGAAGTTCTCTTAATTTCGATCAAGTTCTTATAAGTTCCTGAAATTTTCGTGTAGCTGATGGAACAGCCTTGAAGTTTCCGAAGCTTCCCTGAAGTGTCCAGAATAATATAGAAGTTCTCGAAACTTCTCTATGAAATTTACCCGAAATCCTCGGGATTTCAGTTCATTCCTCTAAAGTTCCTCAATGCTTTGTGGACCGCCCTGAAGTTGTATAATCTTTCCTAAAGTTCTTAGAACCTTCTTAAGGTTCTCGTTACTCTTCTGATGGTGTTCATGAAATTTCTCGGATTTCGATGAAACTTTCCTAAAGATCTCTAGACTTCAAAAGGTTGAATGCAGTTACATGAATTTCTCAGAGCTTCTTTTTTTCTCCAGAAATGGTCGTATCTCGGTTGAGTATGGACCGACATAAGATCTTTAACATTTAAGATTTTCAACCAACATCTCAAAATCATCAGTGGCAGAAAAATTGGCATAACCTTACAACATCCGAAACATTTCTAGTGTCCGGTAGCTACTGCAAATATTGAGCGAATATACTAAAGCTAGTTTCTCTGTAGAATGCTTCAGTTAGTTATTCCTGAAACTGTGGAATTTTGAAGACATGTGAACATTTTTCAAGTCCCTGTTATTTTGCCTAAACACTGGCAGTCAAACTTGACTTCATCCGGCGTCGATTCCTTTTGGAAAATTGTGTCAAAATCCTATCAGAAACTCAAAATTCAGACGCCGATTTGATGACTCAGCAGCGTTCCATGAAACTTCGCAAAAATGATCGCAAGGGGCAATGAACCAAGCTTGTTCTGGAATTCGGCATGCCTTTCGTACTCGTTCTCGAATCCTAGAGTACCCATATCTGAATCCATCTCCAACGCTCACCAGACTGACCATAAAGAATCTTAGAGCTTAAAAAAAAAATCTAACAAATCTGGCTTAGAAATTCATTGAATCTTCACACTTTTTGCCGGCAACCAAACATCACTTTTGCTGAGATCTCGGCAAAAACTACTGAGATTTGGTCAATAAAATTAAGTGTGTAGCTCAAATTTGAAATCCGTTTACTCAGTATTACCAACAATCAATATGAAACTATCGATTTTAAATTGGCTCACTACTTGACTAGCCTATTGGTCCCAAGCAAATAGATTAACGAACAAGTCAAAAATCTAGTACTACACTATTTTTGTTTTGATTCGCTATGAAAGTTTGACAGATAAAATGAGGGGTTAGTGGATTTTCCTATGTTTTGAGGGGTGCATCGATTAGCTTGGGACCGAAGGGAGTACTAGAGCTGAGCCAAAAAGTTGAGCACGTTTCTTCGGGACCTGCTGGTCTTAGAGTTACCTCTATGGTATTACTAAAACCACGGTTACTCATAGACCGAGTAACTTATTTTCAATCATATTCATATTAGAACAGATTTGTACTAGCTCTATGA